TCTTTCTTCTTTCTTTCTTTCATTTTCTTTCCTTCTTTCTCTTTTCTTTCTTCCTTTTTCTTTTTTCTGAGATGGAGTCTTGCTCTTCTGCCCCAAGCTAGAATGCAATGGTGCAATCTCAGCTCACTGCAACCTCTGCCTCCTGGGTTCAAGTGATTCTCCTGCCTCAACCTCCCAAGTAGAGCTGTGATTACAGGCATGAGCCACCATGCCTGGCTATAGTTTTCTATGCTGAGTAGCAAATTACCACAAACTACACCCAAATAACACTCATTTATTATCTTACAGTTTTCTTGGGTCAAGAGTCTAGGCACAGCTTAATTGGGTCCTCTGCTCAGGGTCTCAACAGACTTCAGACCAAGTATTGACATGAGCTGTAACTTCATCAGAGGCTCAACTAGGGACCGTCAATTTGCAAGCTTCCTCAGGTTGTTGGCAAATTCATTTCCTTGCAATTGCAGCACTGAGGTCTTCGTTTTCTTTCTGGCTCTCAGAGGCCACCCACAGTTCCTTGAAAAACATGACAGCTTACTTCTTCTTTTTTTTTTTTTTCTAATAAAACAATTATATTTACTTAGAAGCATTCAGAATGTTAACAAAAGAGCTGCATTTTTCTTTCTTTTTTTTTCTTTTTTTGTCGTTACAAAGCGGCATTTGGTTAACAGAACAGGAATTATTTTGTAGAAGCTGCATCAGAGACAACTGAAGATGAAAAACTACCATCCCCGTCTATAACTAATTTGTGCTGTGCACCAACAGGAACCTGCTTTAAATTTCCATGCCAATTTACAACCCCCATACTGTACCAGGCAGGGTTAGTGGCTACTGAGAATACCACCAGGACAGGGCGAAAGACACATTCGGTAGTGTGTTAATGATACAAAAAAAGACACTGTACGGTTTAAAAACAAATCTTACACATCCTTACATTTTAATTTTTTTTCTTTAAAAGGAGTGAGTTGTGTACGAGGGGGTTAAATGCTTTATAGGCAAGAAAAAAATTTGTGCTAGAACCAACTTATTCATCATCATCTTCATCTTTCTCCTCCTCCTCATCCTCTTCGTCTTTCTCATCTTCCTCCTCTTCGTTCTTTTTCTTGCTTTTTCAGCCTTGACAGCTCCCCCGGCTTTTTTGCCGCAGCAGGCTTTCCTTTAGCTCGATATGCAGCAATATCCTTTTCGTATTTTTCCTTCAGCTTTGCAGCCTTCTGCAGCAATGGTACTACGCGCTTCTCCCGGTTTCTTCACAGGATCACCAGTGGACAGGCCACGATGTTCTCCTTTGATTTTTGGGCAATATTCAGAACAGAGCAGGAAAAAGGCCGAATGTGGCCTTTTGGGTGCATTGGGATCCTTGAACTTCTTTTTTGCCTCCCCTTTATAGGGATATAGGTTTTCATTTCTTTTTCATAACGGGGCTTGTCTGCCTTTACCATATCTTCAAATTTTCCTTTCTCTTCAGCAGTTATGGTCTTCTACCTCTCTGAGCACTTCTCAGAAGTTCACTGAAGCATCTGGGTGCTTCGGATGCTCCTTCTGACAAGTTTGCACAAAAAATGCACATGATGACATTTTGCCTCTTGGCTTCTTAGGATCTCCTTTGCCCATGTTTAGTTATTTTTCCTCAGCAAGGCACAGAGTCGCCCTGTGCCCATCCATCTCTCACTTGCCCCAGTGCTGTCTGTATGGAGCTCAATGTACTGCAATGGCTGTGAGAGCGGGAGCCAGATGCAGCCTCCTCACACTCTGCTCTGTGACATTGCTCTATGACAGCTTACTTCTTTAAAGCCAGCAACGGAGTCTCTCTTGATCCTGCTAAGATAGAGTATTATATAACATAATGTAGTCACGGGAATGACATCCAGACACGATTGCCATATAACATATCCTAAACAAGATCCTGACATCTTGGCTATCTTCTTTTTAATTTAATTATTATTTTATTTTACTTTTTTGAGATGGAGTTTCGTTCTGTTGCCCAGGCTGGAGTGCAGTGGCATGATCTTGGCTCACTGCAACCTCCTCCTCCTGAGTTCAAGTGATTCTCATGCCTCAGCCTCCCAAGTAGCTGGGATTACAGGTGCCCACCACAATGCCTGGCTAATTTTTGTATTTTTTTTTTTTTTTGGGACGGAGTTTCGCTCTTGTTACCCAGGCTGGAGTGCAATGGCGCGATCTCGGCTCACCGCAACCTCCGCCTCCTGGGTTCAGGCAATTCTCCTGCCTCAGCCTCCTGAGTAGCTGGGATTACAGGCACGCGCCACCATGCCCAGCTAATTTTTTGCATTTTTAGTAGAGACGGGGTTTCACCATGTTGACCAGGATGGTCTCGATCTCTTGACCTCGTGATCCACCCGCCTTGGCCTCCCAAAGTGCTGGGATTACAGGCTTAAGCCACCGCGCCCGGCCTTAATTTTTGTATTTTTAGGAGGGATGGAGTTTCACTATGTTGGTCAGGCTGGTCTTGAATTCCTGACCTCAAGTGATCCGCCCACTTCAGCCTCCCAAAGTGCTGGGATTATAGATGTTAGCCACTGTGCCCGGCCCACCTTGGCTATCTTCTGTTGATTAGAAGAAGGTCACAGGTTCTGCCTCAAGGGGAGAGGATTACACAAAGGCATGTCTCACTGTGAGTAAGGGGATACCACTTTAGAGTGTGTCTTCCTCGGGTAGAACAAGGGAAAGTGAAGTATCAGCTATACCATTCAAATTTCTGGCTTAAGAACGTGGGTGGAAGTCGTGCCATTTATTGAGACACAGAACATGGAGGAGCATGTCGCTTGAGGAACGCTCTTGAGTTCAGTTGTTGACATTTGAGTTAAGATGCTCAGAAGCATGAACCATGCCTGTTTTGTTTTTCATTCTATATCCAGTGCCTAGTGTAGTTCCTGACACAGTAGGTACGTAGAATAAATGAATGAATGAAACCTGTGAGATACCCAAGCAGAGTTATTGATGAAGCCAACATCTCCTAGAAGCCAGTTGTGAGGTGTTGATTGACCAGGCATTTTCAAAGTCAGTGGTGTTTGCGCACCATTGGTGCATAATGGTGATGAACATCCTGGCTTGGATAAGATGGCCTAGGAAAGAGGGTACAGGGAAGAGAGCAAAAGTCTCAGGACTGAGCACCGGGAGCCCCAGGACTGAGAAGTGAGGCTGGAGACGACACATTGGCAAAGAATACAAAGAGAGGACAGACCCAAGACTGGAGCCAAATGCTGTCGGGAAGAGGCAAGCCTGAGAAGTGTGCCTGAGGGGAACTGGTTTTGGTAGAGTGGTGAGGCTCAGCAGCCAATTCAGTGTGTGGAGGAGTGGAGGAGGTAAGGACGGGGAAGGCAAGTAGACATCTTCCTCGAAATCTGGCTGAAGAGGAGGAGGGAGAGTGATACCTGGAGAGAAATGAGCCATCCACAGTTGAGGTCATCCAGGTTTTGACTCCAACAGAGTGCATCCTGAAGCAGGGACTGGGGAGCACAGGACTGGGTCCACCCTCTGGGTCAGAGGGAGAGAGAGCAGCTTCTCTGCCTAGCTCAAAGTCTTGCCTTTATATTGCTGTCTCTGTTCTTTTGTTTTGTTTTTATGAGAGGGAGTATCACTCTGTTGCCCAGGCTGGAATGCAGTAGCGCAATCTCTGCTCACTGTAACCTCTGCCTTCCAGGTTCAAGCAATCCCCCTGCCTCAGCCTCCTGAGTAGCTGGGACCACAGGTGTATGCCACCATACCTAGATAATTTTTGTATTTTTAGTAGAGAAGGGGTTTCACCATGTTGGCCAGGCTGCTCTCAAACTCCTGGCCCCAGGTGATGCACCCTTCTTGGCCTCCCAAAGTGCTGGGATTACAGGTGTGAGCCACTGTACCAGGTGTCATGTTCTTATAATAGTCAGGCTAACAAATTTCTTTAAGAATGTTTAGCTTTGCACAGTGGCAGATTCGAAGCCAATGAGGTTTATCTGAGGCGCAATTATTGCTAATTGAAAACTTTTCCCAATACCCTGCCATGACGACTTGAAAAAAAAAAAAAAGAATGTTTAAAAGTCACGAGTTTGGAGAATATGCTTGGATACCTCTTTCCTCTCCCCTTCCTTCTCCCTTCTCTCCCCAATAATTCTGTCCAGAGTTTCCTTCCTTCCTTTCCTCCCTTCCTTTTATTTAGAATGAAGGAGACTTGAGAGATTTTCAAGTAACTTGATGGACAAGAGAGAGGGAGAAGTTGGAAAGAAAGAATGATAAAGAATTGTGTGAGGCTTCTGAGAAAATAGTGGGGAGATGGACTCTAGGGCGCAGGTGGTGGGATTGGCCAAGGGACACCAACTTATTTGTGGGAGGAGGAAGGAGTGTGTGTGTGTGTGTGTGTGTGTGTGTGTGTGTCTGTGTGTCAGGTGGGGGCAGGTTTGGTGTCAGGAAGCAGAGAGAGGCTCAGTCCGATTGTCTTTTGTATCTACCCCAGGCCTGGAGGCATTACCTTCTACATAATAAACTGTTCATATTTGTTGAACAAAAGAAAAGAAAACCTTAAAGGACATAATAGCATATTTCTTTCCTAGTTTTTCAAAATGAAATCTTTATTCACTTTTGTTATCATGCAATAACACGTGCTCTTTGTAAAAAGCTTCAATAATATAGAAAATTTCCCTCAAATTCTAACTGACAGGGATAACAAGTGTTAAGCGTTGGCCTTCCCAGTGGGTTATATATTAAACAAAAGAGGATCAGTTGACATGTGGAATGGTGGGAGCCATTTTTCTCATGTGAACATTATGTGCTTTGTGTCAATATGTAAAGATGTGCTTTATCTTTTATAACACCTGCCTGGTCTCCATAACACCTCCAAGTCTCATAAATTTATTTAACCAAGCCCCTATTGATGAGCATTCAGGCCGTTTCTAACTTTTCAGTACAATGACCTTTCTTGTTCACCCAACTTTGCACCATGCACCGTTCTTTTCTTAAAATAAATTCCTAGAAGAGAGCAACATGTGCATTTCAACTTTTGACACTTATCTTCCAAGTTTGCCTGCTGAAGCCAGTTTAGGCTTCCGTCAACAGATGGAAGTGCACCTGTTTCCGCCCCACCCTTGTCAAAAACTAGCTACTAGAAATCTTTTTTTTTTGGAGACGGAGTCTTGCTCTCTCACCCAGGCTGGAGTTGCAGTGGTGCGATCTCGGCTCACTGCAACCTCTGCCTCCCGGGTTCAAGCGATTCTCCTGCTTCAACCTTCTGAGTAGCTGGGACTACAGGTGTGTGCCACCGGCCTGGCTAATTTTTTTGTATTTTTAGTAGAGATGAGGATTCACTGTGTTAGCCAGGCTGGTCTCGATCTCCTGACCTCATGATTTGCCCACCTCGGCCTCCCAAAGTGCTGGGATTGCAGGTGTGAGCCACTGCGCCCAGCCTAGAAATATTTTTAGTCCTCTCCACCTAAGTGAAAAAAGGTATATTATTTTATTTATCTTTAATTTTTAATTTTATTTTTTTGAGTTGGAGTTTTGCTCTTGTTGCCAAGACTGCAATGGTGTGATCTAGGCCCACTGCAACCTCTACCTCCTGGGTTCAAGCGATTTTCCTGCCTCAGCCTCCCAAGTAGCTGGGATTATAGGCACCCACCACCATGCCTGGCTAATTTTTAAAAATTTTTTAGTAGAGATGGGGTTTCACCATGTTTGCCAGGCTGATCTTGAACTCCTGACCTCAGGCGATCTGCCCATCTCAGCCTCCCAAAGTGTTGGGATTACAGGCCTGAGCTACTGTGCCTGGCTTATATCTTATTTTAATTTGCTTTTTTGTAATAATTAGTGAAGTTGAACACCTTAAATATGAATTTTGGACATTTTCTTGTCTTCTTCTTTTGTTGTTGAGATGGAGTCTCACTCTGTTGCCCAGGCTCCTGAGTAGCTGGGATTACAGGTGCCCACTACCACGCCTGGCTAATTTTTGTATTTTTAGCAGAGATGAGGTATCACCATCTTGGTCAGACTGGTCTTGAGCTTCTGACTTTGTGATCCACCCACCTCAGCCTCCCAAATTGCTGGGATTACAGGTGTGAGCCACTGCGCCCAGCTGTCTTCTTTTAATATAGAGTGTTTCTTTATGTCTTTTATTCATTTTCCTACTGGGTTTGTAATTTTCTTCTTATTTCCAGACAATTCACAGTTTAATAATCTTAACTCTTTCTGCATCCTCTTGTCCATGTTTTTCCTATTTTCTTGTCTTTTGCTTTGCCATATAGAGATTTTCATTTTGCATTTGTCAGTCTTTCCTTTTCTTATGGCGTTGTCTTTGCCATATTGCTAAGAGAGCTGATTGCCACATGAAGATTATAAAAAATTCTTTCATGTTCTCTCTCTCTCTCTCTCTTTATTTTTTTTTTTTTTAGAGATGGGGTTTCACCATGTTGGTCAGGCTGGTCTTGAACTCCTAACATTGTGATCTGCCCGCCTTGGCCTCCCAAAGTGCTGGGATTACAGGTGTGAGCCACCATGCCCGGCCTCATGTTTTCTCTACTACTTTGTAGTTCAGCTTTTTCATTAAGTTTTGTTCTTTTCTGCTTTTTAAAATTAGATGGGCAATATATGATTATAACCCAGTTACATCCTTGAATGTAATCACTTTGTCTTCTCATAATGCCCTCATACGCACTTCAAAAGCAGAGAGGAGAAAAAGAGGGATGATGGGAAATACATTTTTTTTTTCTGTGAACTTAAGTAGAACAACTGATCTTATGCAACTAATAAGTAAATAGTCCTGCATTTCCATGAAAAAATGAAAGAATGACTGTTACCTAGTTAAGGTTTATCCTTTCAGACTCTATTAATGCGTTCAGTTCATATGTTTATATGGATATATATGCACACATTTAACATAAATGGTATTATTCTATATATGTTATTTATAATTTGCTTTTTTTTTTTTTAAGGCAGAGTCTAGTTGCCCAGGCTGGAGTCCAGTGATGTGATTTTTCACTCACTGCAACCTCCACCTCCTGGGTTCAAGCGATTCTCCTGCCTCAGCCTCTTTAATAGCTGGAATTACAGGCGCAGGCCACCACACCTGGCTAATTTTTGTATTTTTAGTAGAGACAGGATTTCACCATGTTGGCCCGATTGGTCTTAAACTCCTGACCTCAAGTGATCTGCCTGCCTTGGCCTCTCATAGTGCTGGGATTACAGGCATGAGCTACAGTGCCTGGCTTATAATTTGCTTTTCACTGAATATTAGATAGTTCCTTGTCAGCCATATATATTTACTTCTTCCTTTTCTTTTCTTTCTTTCTTTCTTTCTTTTTAAGCAATTCTCCTGCTGCAGTCTCCCTAGAGCTGAGATTGCACACCCAGCTAATTTTTGTATTTTTAGTAAAGATGGAGTTTCACCATATTGACCAGGATGGTCTTGATCTCTTGAACTCGTGATCCACCGGCCTCGGCCTCTCAAAGTGCTGGGATAACAGGTGTGAGCCACTGTGCCCGGCTACTTCTTCCTTTTCTAACTGACTGCTGTGCAATTATCTATGGTATGAATGTAGCATAGTTTAGGGATAAATTCTTTTATATTCAGGGCTTTCACCCATCTGAATGTTTTTGCATATGTGTGTATGAGTGGAGCGAGTTAGGGATATAACTATTTTTTCTTAATAATTTCCTAACTATTCTATCACCATGTGTTGCGTAACCCATCTTTCCTCCACTGACTTGAAATGTTACTGTCATAATTGAATGGACATTAAATGGACAAAGCTGAAGTGGGCCGAGCAAAATGTTCAGGAACATCTGAAGGAGCTTCCTGCTTCTGCTGGACAAGTGGTATCAGCTGGCCTGGGTATTCCTGTTTCTTCCCCAGCCACATAGCTATCTCTGCACTGACACAAAAAAGGACTGCCCAGTATTCCCTAACTTATCCCCAGAAATAAACGCAAAAATCTTAGTTTTGAAAACAGACCATTTAATACTACAACCACGAATCCTGTATCAGTCTTACTATTCTGCAGACCTGCTGACCATCCCCATCTCCATAGAGTTCCTGAGGTGTGTGGGCCTAGGTGCCAGGGGACTCGGGGAAGACCCTGCTCCAGAGCCTTTCCTCCTGGGAATTGGGGGTGGGGACCTCAGAGACACAGCCGGAGCTGGGTTTGCTTTTGCAAAGTGTTTCATTGGTAAAAATGGGATGGTTTTGGTGATTCATAGTGAATCTATTTTAATTTTAATCATCACATATTTAAGTCACGTTAATAAAAGTGACTCAATTTACAGAAGAACATGGTACTTGGGCAGACATGACAACAACGCTGAGGTAGTTTGAGGATGATGGAAATTTAGAAGACCCCAAATTAGATGATCTTATTAATCAAGGGTGCCCTCAGCTGCTGGTACAAAAACCTAACTCCCAATGGCTTAAAAACATAGGGGTGAGGTGTTTTTTTGGTGCTGTAATTTTACACATAAAATTTGCCGGTATTGGCAGGGGACTCAGTGATGTCCAAGGCTGACTGCCCTCTTCCCAGTTCTTTCGTCCTTTTCCTGATGGTCCCATGATGGTTGCTGCAGCTCTGGCAGTCACAAGCAAATGGAAGGCAAGGGGAGCGAGGGTGGCAAGCAGTGTCCTTCTTTCTCTTTGGGAGGAAAAGCGAGGTTTTCAGAGCTCCCACTAGTCTCCTTGAGCCTCACCGACACTTTTGTGAAGTGTTCCATTGGTAAAAATGGGATGGTTTTGTGTGATTCATGGTGAATCTATTTTAATTTTAATCATTACATAGCATATCTGTGGCCACTGCTAGGTGTAAAGAGGGCTGGGAGAGTGAGCAATAGTTTGCATAACTGGTTTAGACCATCCTCATCCAATGGAGGTTCTGTCAGTGAGAGAGAAAGGGGACTCGATAGTGGATAGACAACTTCCGTGTCTGCCGTGTGGGAGTGCGCGACCCGCAGAGGGAAGCAGGGAAGCAGAGATGCGGACCATATGGCCCCACAGAGAACGCTGCAGTGGGAGCAGCGTCAGGCTTCCAGCTCCAGTTCCTGAGTGACAAGCTGTCCTGCATTGCCTGTTCTCGCAAGTT